ACTTCGAATGTCAATCATATATAATTGACACATGATATGGTTCGACCCCATCGGTCCCATTGACCCCCTTCGACTTGAAACAATCAAGTCAAGCTAAGCCGCGATTTAACTGACTTGAAGTCAAATCGAACTGACAACTTGGAATCCTCAAGTCAAACCGATTCGGTCTCATCGGTCCGGTTCGGTTCGGCTCGACCTGGTTCGGCTTAGCTCATATCGCCCAACACTACTCAGAAGACATTGGTTATCAAATGGAGCTAGTGCAGGTATGGCATTAATAGTTAAAAAAGAATTCAACAAGTATATATGCAACATTAAAAAATTTTAAGGAAGGGCTATATGTGCAGACATATTGTTACCAAAAAAGACTGCAACATATATAATACAAATTTACTTGTCAAGTAAAAAAAAAAGATAACAAAGAAACCATCTTACAAATTGGTGAATGGATCACTGAAGTACAAAAAAAAAATCACCATAGAATCATTGTCATGGGAGATTTTAATGCAGTCCTGTCACCACTTGTAGATAGAAATAATAATAACCAATCTTTCTTATTAGAAAGTGAGATATTTTTACTATTAACTGATAAAGACATGATCGATTGCTATCATGTGGTATACCCAGAAAACAATGGATACACTTGGAAGAGGGATAACTCAACTGAAAAAAGTAGAATAGATATAATATGGATATCACAAAAATGAGGCAACAAGATTGAATGTTGTGAACTAGATGATCTGCAGCTAGTTATAGATAGTGATCACAAACTTTTAAAAATACAAATTAAAAAGGTATGACAAAACAAACATACGGAAGTTATGATTGAAAATAGGGGTTCACGCTATAATATGAAATTAATGGATAAAAAAAAATGGAAGGTTTTCAGCAAGTACGTACAAGATAAGTTAAAGGAATTTACCTTCAAAACTAGAAAAGAAAAATACAGTAACTCAATTAATTCTCTAAACAAATCATGGAAAATACTTAAAAACATAATGATTGAAGTTGCCAATTATGTTATACCAAAAAAGAAAATTAAAAAATACAATAAAACAGTAAACAAGGATATATCAGAAAATATAAAGAGAGCTAGGTCATGTGATAAATTATTTTGACTGGTCAGACAGGAAAGAGCACATATAAAGTCACAAAGTGTTTTTTTAAAAGAAGTCCAGAAGCTATTAATTACGAACTTCAATATTGATCGACTAATTAAAGACAATAAGTCATGTGAAGATTTCCATAAGGTAATACAGGAGCAAAGTCTCAAATTTCGAGCAACTGCTAGGGCTGAGAAAAAAAAAGAGATAACTCAACATATACGAAAAGCAGTTGAAAAATGATAGGAAGATCTTAAAGACAACAAGAAATGTATAATTAATAGTATACTAGATAAACCTCATAAAAAATCATTATAGATCGACTAATAGATAAAAATCAAAATGGAGACACAATAATCATCACTGACAGTAATAAAATAAAAGAAAAGGTACGTGACCTATACCTGCCACCCAAATTCAAAATCCAAATGCCGAAATCCCAAATGCCGAAATTCCAAATCCCAAATCCCAAATT